GAGCCGCTTTTGGAGGAGCATGAAAAAACGACGCTGATCAGTGATAAGCAGAAAGAAGCATGCGAATTGAGTGAAATGGATTCTGAAGTTTGTTTTACATATGCGCTATTTAATGATATGGCAGTGGTTTGATGCTGTAGTAATTGATTTTAAACTAATTCGTGTTGTGGAGCCGTCAAGCGTAAATATGTCATTTTTTATTGCTGTTTTTTAGGCTTTGCGTGAGAGCGAAAGTCTACTTGGTAATATAACGGAGAACGATATACTCGGCAACATGGAAGAAATAGATTTCGATAATTTGGATCTAAATGAGCTGCTGGACGGTGATGAGGATGATGATGATGACGAGGCACTAGACAATGTCCTTGGCGGTACTGCTTTCTTAGTAATTTGAATACAGCTTTTTTGCGCCTTATGTAACTTTAGTGGAAGCGTGCCAGTTATAACGGGCACACTGGCGCAGCTTCGATTGTGAGTGGTCGGGGCACGGCCTCCACCCGACAGTGGGGGCGATTTTCCTCATAATTAGTCATTATGACTGAGGAGACGTACGACAACACAATCTAGCTTAGCAAGCTTCGTCATTTCTACTTCTGGTTGATATGCACATTTCCCGTCGCCACGTGATAACAGTAACTCTGGTAATTCTGTTCAGTTTGATTTAGACGCTTTACTGGCTTGAAAGTGCGTTTACTGGAAAGCGGTTTTACGTTTTGTCTTGGAAGTAATATCGAAAAGAAAGGCAGTGACATTGCCTCCCTCGCTTTCCTGTGACCCTCAGTGAACACGTAATAATTACGTTGATCATCTGCTTTTCCATCTTCATGTTTGTCACTGATGCAGCAGGCATCTTTTTCATCCTCTGTTTTGAACCTGTTTCGTCCCCATAACTCCATATAGAGCCTGTTTTATCCCCATAACTCCCGTCTGTTTTATAAGGGTTCCTTTCCTCCATTTGGGATGTGCTTCATGTTCTTCGTTCAGGATATCTTCCGTTCAACTCGTCCTCTCGACAGGACCACCATCCAGCTCCCAAAACGGTTCCTCGATCGTTCAAGCGGGTCCTTCCATGCCAGCCTTTCTTGCGTTCTAATATTGTGTAAATTGTAAATCCGCCTTGTCCAACTGCTGTCTTTCAATTCTAGTTAACCCGGCTGTTTTTTCGGTATTCACTGTTTGATGGTATCGCTCGCATCAGACCGAAATCGCAATAGTTCATTAGAAATGTCTCGCATCTTGCTAATTTCTGTCATTCATCGTTTCACGATTCATTTGGTCGCCACTTTTCCCCCAACATGAATGATACTTCTTGTTTTACTTCTATACAACAGAACTGGTGACAGTGGAAGAAATATGTCACTTTTACACTTCAGGGTTGTACAAGCTTCGTAACTTGGTAGAAGGGCAAATCATCTTGTTTTTTGTTTTGTTTTGTTTTTTTTTTCCTTAGCTTCAAACTCAGCTCATCATTCATTTGTATTGTTCAAGTAAGGGTAGGCGCCAATGATCGCATTTTAAACCGGAGGCAACACAATCGATTAATCCATTCAAATTTCCCTTCGTGGATTTAGGACCCGTTTTTTTTGCTTTATCAAAACAAAATAGGTAAACAAATCATGCGTTTTTGTTGTGTGTGATTACCTTCAGATTTTTTTGCTAAGTTATGTGAGAAGCAGAATCAGTTAGAATTTTTCGTCCCGTGCCTCCATTTTTATTACATGCATCAAATTTTGCATTATAACGGATATTTCAGATAGAATGGGAACTGCGGCCCTCGATAACACCCAGGTAAATATCATGACTTCACATGGCGGTGCCATGCGACAACAGATGTTGTATGCCGGACAACAACAACAGCAGCAGCAGCAGGTGAAAAACTTTTTGGGTCACTGAAATTACCAGAACTTTTTGAGTCGTAGCACCTTCGTTGGTTATCGGTTTTGTGGGTCTGTGGAGTAGTGTTTTGGAAAAAATTTTACAGTTCCTCTTTTGTTCGATTACTTTGTCATTGTTTCTCGGTGCTAGTTTTTCCCTTTCTGTATATTTTGGTCTTGAAAATTAGTTTTGGGATTATGTTCATCGGTTCCTAACCCATCATAGTAGGATCTTTGAAACTTGTGCTTTTGTATCTTATCACAGTTTCACATTTAGGCG